CCCATCTGTGCTCTCTGTACAGGGCTGAGAAGCAGGGCACAGCCTGGCACGTGGGTCAGTCCTCATCGTGGGTGCAGGTTCCCCTGGCATGTGAGCGATGCCTCCTCCAGGAAGCTCCCTTTGGTTTCGGGGCTTGGCACATGCCCAATCATTGCGTAGCACTTCGTAAGGGTTATCTTGTAGCGACCAAGATTCAGGACTCAAATTCCTAGAGCCACAGAGCCCCAGGTAGGAAACACCTTTCTCCCCAGACAGGGGTCCAGGGAGCTTTGCTCATAAATCCTATTACAGCCCGGCTGGTGTGGCTCAGTGGTTGAGCAGTGACCTAGGAACCAGGAGGTCACGGTTCGATTCCTGGTCAGGGCACAGGCCCAGGTTGCAGGCTCCATCCCCAGTGTGGGGTGTGCAGGAGGCAGCCGATCCATGATTCTCCCGCATCATTGATGTTTCTGTCTCTCTTTTCCTCTCCCTTCCTCTCTCTGAAATCAATAGAAATACATATATTTTTAAATCCTATGACTGTAAGGGTACTGGTGAATGCTGGTTTTTAAGAGAAAGACCTTCCTCCTCTTACTTGTTAGTCTTTAAACCCAATGCACCAACCAGCACTCCGAAGATAAAGCAGTGAGCAGTGTTAATTTTCAAAGCCATCTGTTCCTCTCCAGCTTCCCAAGGTCGTGCCTCCTCCCTGAATGATTGCAGAGGCTGCTGCCACGGAGCACGGGGGGGAAACTCCCGTGAAGTCCGACCTCTGATGGAAAGAGCCAACAGCTCGGATCCCAGGCAGCACGACTAAGGCCGACGACGCAGAACAGACAGCAGCGCCGAGCATCTGCGGCTCTGTCTGTTCCTCCCCTCCTCGGAGAGAACGAATCACAGACAGCTCAGAGGAAGAGACCAGAAGGCCAGAAGCCCAGCGAGCAGCCAGGCCTGCCTCCCATGCCGTTTCAAAGAGCGAGCTCGCATGCTGCAGAGTGGGCGGGCGAGGCTGACAGCTTGCGGGGGCTATTTTAGGGGGTTCGTGGCAAAATTGTTGGGGAGAGGGCTGGGCCCCGAGCTCCCAGTATGCAGCAGCTGCCGCTCCAGGCCGACCCTCCATCTCTACAGGGGCCAAGAGCCTGCCAGGCACCCCCCCAACCGGTGTTGGCCTTTAAGCCATCCCTCGGGAACTCACAACTCCAGGCAGAGCCAGGACCTGGGGGAGGAGCACGAAGGGGAGACAGGACCCTCTGCACCCCTCACCGTGGGCTGCACGTGTGGAGAGCCTGCCCCAGGAAGCTAAACCCACTGAAAACACAGAAGGAAGAGGCTGGGAGGACTGGGACGGTGTGGAGAGCGGTTAGAGGTCTCAACCTTAACCACGGAGATGCTCACCGCCTCCTTCTCTCCTCCTTTCAGCTGGACACCACGTGCCCCCCCATTTCTGGACGCAGATCAAAGGCACAAGGGTGCCCAGGGCCTCCCCCGCCCTGGTGCACGGGGACTCTCTGCACAGGTTCTAGGTCATCGCAGGGCTCCCAGACGGCACTTCTCGTCTCTTTCTCATAGAAGAATCCTGACTCAGCCAAAGCCAGCGCAAGCAACGCAGTTACACATCAGACACAGTCACACACACACACACACACACACACACACACACACACGTGCGCACACACGCGCACACACACACACACACATACACACACACACACACACACACACACACGGGCACGTTTATATAATAGGAGGTGGGCAGGACGCCTGTTCCTCATCAGTTTCTCTCAGCAACATACATTTGTTACAAATTTTCTATTATGAAGGTTACAGATCAAAATTTCACTCTCTTCTCTTTATATGTATGTATGTATATTTTTATTGATCTCAGAGAGGAAGGGAGAGGAAGGAGATAGAAACATCAATGATGAGAGAGAATCATCGATGGGCCGCCTCCTGCACGCCCCACACTGGGGATGGAGCCCGCAACCCAGGCATGTGCCATGACCGGGAATCGAACCGTGACCTCCTGGTTCCACGCTCAACCACTGAGCCACACCAGCCGGGCTGTCACCCCCTTTTACCTCCCCATCCCACGCTGCTGGCCTAGTGAGATCTGTTAATAAACTTGGGAACAAAAAATAAAGGAGAGATCCGCTGCCTTCCTTGAAAGGGGCGCGCACGCTCTGGAAGCGTCGCAGACACTGTACTCTGCTGACCCTCCCTGCTCTCAGAGCCGCTGGGCTGCCGCTCACAGCCACGTAATAAAGCATCCCTCTCTCCACGCCACTGGCCATGAGGATCTCTCTCTGAGCGGCCACGTATTTCGGCACCTATGTTCACCCCCCTAAACCGTCTGATATTGTTTCAGGGGATCTGGGTTCATGCTTAAGAAGCCATCAACCTCACCCCTGCACCTTCACCCCAAAGTTCCCTCAGGGGGAGGGTGGAAGTCCTTGGAGGACAGGAAGTCCTTCACCAGAGCTGGATCTGAGAAGCAAGCTCCCCCACACAGGAAAGCGCCACTGGGTAAGAATGCCATCAGGTAACCACTAATATCTTTGGTTCAAGTGCCCGACTGGCAGTCTCAGGCCCAAGTGGGAACTCCGTGGACACCCGGAAGGAGGCAGAATTTGAACCTGACGCCAAGCGCCACATGATATGCTCTCTGTGGCCATGGAAGTGCTGCAGTGGCTACGTTCGACGGTTCTGCTGCAGAATTCCTCCTATTTTTGGTTACTAAGAAATATAGGATCGCTTACATGCACTCCAGTGCCTTCATCCTCACACCAGGAGACTCCTGACTCTTGCTTCTAACTAGGCTTCACCTGACCCAATTCCACTCTTTTTTTAAAATATATTTTTATTTATTTCAGAGAGGAAGAGAAAAAGAGAAAGAGAGAGAGAGAGAGAGAGAGAGAAAAACCTCACTGAGGAGAGAGAATCATTGATGGGCTGCTGCCTGCACGCCCCACACTGGGGATCGAACCCACAATCGGGCATGTGCCCAGACTGGGAATCGTGACCTCCTGGCTCATAGGTCGATGCTCAACCACTGAACCACACCGGCCGGGCCCCAATTCCACTCTTTCCCTGGGATGTAGGGATACTCGCTGTGTTCTCTCCCAGGTGGACATGGATTTCAAGTGTCCCAAGATCACCAGCTGGACCACAGACGCTCCTTGCATAGAGCCTGCCAAACCAGGGCTGGAAGACCTAACGACATACTAGGAAACACAGGGGGCATAAAAGAAGTGCACAGCCGGCCAGCATGGCTCAGGAGGTCACGGGTGGACTCCCGGTCGGGGCACAGGCCCCAGTTGTGGCTGGATCCCCAGTGTGGGGCGTGCGGGAGGCGGCCCATCCATGATTCTCTCTCCTCATTGATGTCTCTCTCTCTCCTCCCTTCTCCCTTCTCCTCTGAAATCAATAAAAGTATTTTTAAAAAATAAAAAGAAAAGGAGTATACAGAGCGATGTGACTTTGAAAATTCCAAAACTCAGCTGAAGCCCGAACGAGAACATGCTTTTAAACCTCGCCACCCCAAGCACTGCCGGCCAAGGTGGAGTCTGTAAGCCGGGCTGCAGCTCAGCACATCCCCACTGCAGCCTGCCTGCCTGCCTGCCTGCCTGCCCGAGGTTTGCAGACCACTCCCTGCTGGGAGCCCCGCCAGCCGTGCAGGCCTAGCAGCCGGCTGCAGCGAGGGGTGCAGATCCAAGGCCAGGCCCCGGCCGGGGCCCCTCACGGCTGCCTCCGGGGTGCTGAGTCCCCTCTGGGTGAACCAACATCAGGGAGAACCATAGCAGGAGCCACATCACCACCAACACCACCCTGGTCAGTGCGACCACTCCCTGGCCTTCAACAGCACGGCTGCAGAACCCAGGGCTGCCACAGCCGGTCACCAAGCGAGGAACAGAAGCCTCAAGGCCGGCGGGAAAGGACTGGTGTCCACCCCTCAGGGAGGCCGGGGCCGCCGAGCCCCTGCTGGGGAAGTGGTGATATTTAAAAACTCACCTCCTGAGAAGTCAGGCAGTAGAAAGGCCCTCAAGAAGCCACATCTGGCCTGGCCGGAGTGGCTCAGTGGTTGAGCCTCAACCCATGAACCAGGAGGTCGGGGTTCGGTTCCCGGTCAGGGCACACGACCGGGTTGCGGGCTCCATTCCCCAGTGTGGGGCGTACAGGAGGCAGCCGGTCAGTGATTCTCTCTCATCATTGATGTTTCTTTCTCTCTCTCTCCCTCTCCCTTCTTCTCTGAAATAAATAATTATATACTATATATATATATATATATATATATATATATATATATATATATAATTTTTTTTTAAAGCAGCAGCAGCCACCTCTGCCAGCACCCCTGCGAGGTTCTCCAGGGAACAGGCCAGGTGGTGAGCAGAACACCAGGCCGGCAAGGTGCCTCCTGCTGGAAGACATACATACACCTTAACGCAGCGAAACCGGTTCTTTCACTCTCTTTTCTTGTTCACGAGAATCCTAAACAGCCAAAGTTTCTCACGCAGAAAACTCAGCCCAGGGAAGAAGACGCCGTGGGTGGATGGATGGACGCTGCCTCGCTCCAACTGCCACCTGCCCCGCCCCTGGCACCTGGGCCGGGCTTGCCCAGCGCCCTCCATGCAGGACGACTGCCCCCTCCCCAAGCCACGTCGGGGTTTCGGGGTCCCCTCCCCCAGGCAAGCCCCGCTCTCACCCAGCCTGGGGGTGCACGCCCGCGAGTGGGGCTGGCTTCCCTCCCCTGCAGGCCGCCGGGACGCCCCCAGCAAGTGCGGGGAGGGGAGCCCGACCCCCACGCCCTCGCCATGGCCAAGTGCGGGCCCCGCCTCGCTTCCTCCTCTCCCCCGGCGAGGCAGTCGCACCCCCTCCCACGCAGTCCGGTGGGTCCTCGCACTTTACCCGCCGCTCCCGCCGCCCCAGGAACATCTGGAACTGCCTCCCCGCACTCACGCGTCCCCGGCCTGGGGTTCCCCGGCACCCCCACCCCCGGGCACCGCCAAGGGGCCGCGTCTTACCGCCGGTGTCCTCGAAGCGCGGGGGCGGGCGGTCCCGCAGCGCCGCGCTCCAGCCCGAGCCGTCCTCCTCCTCCTCCTCCTCCTCCTCCTCCTCGGGCTCCGGCGCGGCGGCGGCGGCGGCGGGGACGCAGGGCGGGGGCCCCGGGCGCTCGTGCTCGTCGTCGTCCGAGGAGGCGGCCGAGGAGGAGCGCGAGGCGGCCGAGGTGCTGTAGAAGGGGTTGCCGCCGCTGTCGGGGCCCGACTCGCCGAACACGTCGTCCGAGATGTGCAGGCTCTCGTAGCGCGCGCGGGCCGCCTCCAGCAGCGCCGGCGCCCTCCGCCGCGCGCCCCCGCCGCCCTCGGCCATCGCCCCGGCGGCCGCCGCCCGCGCGCCCGCCCCGCGCAGCGCCTCCCGGCCGCACGCGCCGGGGCCCGGGCCCGCCGCCCCCCACCAGCGCAGCCGGCAGCACAGCGCCCGCCGCTCCGCGCCCGGCCGGCCCGCCGTCTTGGCCGCCTGGGGCCCCGCGCCCGGGGAAGCGCACTCGGAGCTGGGGCGCCGCCGGCTGCGGGCCGCGGCGGGAGACGAGGGTGACGGCTGCGACCGGGGGCCGCCGCTCCTGCCGCCGTTCCTGCCGCCGCGGCTGCGTCTTCCAGCGCCTCCCGCGTCTCCACGCCCGCCCCGCGTACCCAGCGCTCGCCTGCCGACCTTCCCGGGCGCGAGCCGCCAGCGACGGCCCCGCCCCCTCTCGCGCCCCGCCCCCTCGCCCTTCCAGCCCTCCGGCCAATGGGGAGCCAGGCTGGGCGTGGGGGGCGGGGCCTGCGCCGGGGACGCTCCATCCTCCTCTTCTGGGAGCGAGCTGCCAGCGGAGGCCCCGCCCTCCTTCACGCCCCGCCCCCTCGCCCTTCCAGCCCTCCGACCAATAGGAAGCCAATCTTGGACGGGTGGGCGGGACCTGCGCCGGAGACGCCCCACCCTCCTCTCCCGGGCGGGGCGGTGCCAGCGGGAGGGGGAGGGCCGCCGCGGCTTGGCGGGTCCCCTGGCCTGCAGGGACCTGGCCCCGGGACGGCGCCCCGCCAGCCCCGAGCTGCCCGCAGGGTGGGTGTGCGGGGGACGCAGCGGATTCTTCCCGCGGCCCGAACCCGCCGGCCTGGTCCACCCCGCCGCGCTCAGGGGCCCCTCCGCAGTGCGCGCCACGCCGGGGAGCTGTCCTCCCCGGTGGTTCTCAACCCAGCGCTGCGGGGACGCTCCCGGCAGGCGGGGGCCGACGGCGGCGGCGGCCCCCTCCCGGGGATCCCGGCCGGCTGCGCCGCCTGCTCCCGCAAACACAGGGCTGTCTGGCTTCCTGGATTCTTGCTCTAATTAGGACCCCGCCTCCCGGTCCATTTCTGGGGTCGAGTTTTTAACTCCGTCTCGCTTCGTTACTCCTGTAGTTGGAGGGTGGCGGCAGCATCTGGAGTTAGGTCGATAGTCATTCCTCATCGTGTTTGACGTTTTGACACCTTTTAAACTCAAAATATTTATTACTTCCAAAATAGAGGGTACTCTGACACCACTTACAGCATCTCCTTCACTCGTATATTTATTTGCCAAACTCCTGTTAAAATCACCCAGGATGGGTGCTCTGATAAACAATAAAACCGGAAGGTTCCCTCCGCCCGGTCCTGGGTCTGAGTGTGTGGCTGTCAGTCATACCGTGGACGGGCAATACATCTGATCAGTCTCCCTTGTCTTCTGGCTCCCCGCTCCCTCCCACAAATAATGCAATATGTCACATTGATGGAATAGGACCATCAAGTCACTTTCACTCCGGCATAAAATAAATCCACAGAGAGGTGGAGGGCTTACACATTCTGGGCACCCACTAAATAATTACAGGAAACGCTAACATGCCTGTTGCTATTTCCAGGCGTTCATAAAGGAGGGAGGTGTTGAGACCGTTCTGCCAGCCAGATCAATTCTATGGTCGGCCAGGCAGCTCCTCTCCTTCGCTACGCCTGTGTTTTCTCCCCTCCAGACCAGGGTCACTGTGCAGGCATCGCTTCTTGGCAATCAGGAAACGACAATCTATAAAAAGGAAGGGATTCACCTACCATTGCTCACTCTATGGATTGGCTGATACACGCGCAATTGCTTGCACACCATGTCAACTCTTGAAAGAATGATGCCAAAATTCCGCAATTGGTAATTATGTAAGACTCTTCTAAGATTTCACGTTATCTGTTCAAAGTAATTGAGTGCAATCCAGAATCTAAGGGAAAGAATTTATTCTTCTCTTTTGCGGGTAGCCCGTTGAAAAGTCAACGGCTAAGGTGAATGGGTGTTTTTAAAACAAGGAATCGCGAAGCGAAGCGCAGAACAGAGCAATGGCCGTTACAAGCGTGGACACAATCTTCCTTTGTCCCTAATTTGCATTTGTGTCGTGTTAACGCCAAGGAAATTGGGGCCTTTGTGCTTCCTGGGCTCTCGAGTGCTTGTGGCCACACGGGGCAGGCAACATTGGAAAGAGGATTATAGGGTCACAAAAGAAACAAGACTGGGAAATCGAACGGTTACCCCAAAGCTTGTCACATATAAATGAGATGATTATTTCAGCTCAGAATCGAGTGTTTTTTCATGTTGCTTTGTTTAAGCACATGTTTTCAACCAAGAAGAGTAAAATTATTCCAACCAAAAATATTCCAGGAGGCAGGTGGCGGCTTCTCATTTGTGGAGGGAGAAAAGGAAAAGGCAAAAAAACAAAGCCCCAAACTTTCCATCTGCCTGGCAACCTCCCACCAGTACGATGGTGCATCGTTAACTTCTAACACTATCTGTGCGGACAATTATAGCACCAGTATCACACTGACGTCTTGTAACTTGGAGTCCTTTGAAAACATCTTCCAAGTAATATAACTTTGTGGTAAAATGAAATAATTTTAGATTAACCTTGAGATTTTTTGTTTGTAGTCTTCCCGAGTTCCAGGTAGTAAGGGGAATCCATTTGTATAGTAGATTCCTTAGGTTTTGTAAAACCAACAGATTTGTGGTCTTTTTTTAAAATATATTTTTATTGCTATCACAGGGGAAGGGAGAGAGAGAAACATCAGTGATGAGAGAGAATCACTGATCGGCTGCCTCCTGCATGCTCCCCTAGTGGGGATGGAGCCCACAACCTGGGTATGTGCCCCTGACCGCAATCGAAGCTGGGACCCTTCAGTCCGCAGGCCGACGCTCTATCCACTGAACCAAACCAGCCAGGCTTTAAATTCTTTATTGTTGAAAGTATTACATATGTCCCCCTTTCTCCCCATTGTCCTCTCCCAGCCCGGCCCCGCCCCCCAGCTCGGGCCTTCACCCCCCTATTGTCTGTGTCCATTGGTCCTGCACACCCCCTACTGGGGATGGAGCCTGCAACCTGGGCATGTGCCCTTGACCCTGCCTTCCCTCTGAGGTTTGACGGTCTGTCCGCTGCTTCTATTTTGTTTCTGGATCTATTTTGTTCATCAGTTTATGTTGTTCATTATATTCCACACGTGAGTGCGAGCACGGGCTACTTACCTTCCTCTGACTGGCTCTTGGCGCTAAAATGACACCGCCCACCACATTCCCAGCCTTCAGCAGATGGTACTTTGAGAACCAAGGTGACAGATATGAAAGGCCCTCGTCAGTGAGTAGCTCCTGTCACTCAGAGCTTAAGTTCAGGGAACAGACTTCAGAAGCGACCTTGAACCCTGCCATCATCTAAATCCATTCGGTTTGACCCAGTTTTGCTTGGCGTCAATGTCAAAAGCACGTGTGGTCTTTGGGACTGAATTTTTTCCACTTCTAAGATTTCCAACGGACAGAGGCCTGCTCAGAACATGGTGGGGGTGGGGGTGAGGGTGCAGCGGGGCCAAAAATACAGCCCAAACCTTGAATTAGTTGGAGCGAAGCCATCAAGATGAGGAATCGTCCTTTCCTTTTAATAGCAAGACAGAGAGTGAGCATTTTCAGCCCGTTGGATTTTTCAAAGGGGAGCTGGGTTGGTGATTTCAACAAGAAGAGTTTCAGTGAATCATAAGACCTCGCAGCTCGCTGTGAGTCATGCTTGCCTGTGGATGCAAAAAAAAAAAAAAAAAAAAAAAAAAACAGCGGCTGTAAACAATTGTGAGTGAGTTTTGGGCTCTGGAGTCGGGCAGTCTGGCCTCAGACCCTGGCTCCATCACTTACCGAGTGCCCTTGGGCAAATGTAACCTGCACTAAGTCTCAATTTTCTTGTTTGCCAATGAAGGTCATGGTAAGAGTCCTTACCTTATAGGGTCATAGGGTCAAAAGAGATAATGCTTGCAAATTGCTTGACATGAAGAATGGAACGTTTTTTAAAAATATATTTTTATTGATTTCAGAGAGGAAGGGAGAGAGAGAGAGAAACGTCCATGACTGATTGGCTGCCTCCCGCACACCCCACACTGGGGAGTCAGCCTGCAAGCCGGTCATGTGCCCTGACCGGGAATCGAACCGTGACCTCCTGGTTCATAGGTCGATGCGCAACCACTGAGCCACACCGGCCGGGCGGGGATATATTTTTCCAAGGGCTTTCCTGAAGGAAAGAGAGGGTTGCTCTTGTGCGAAGGTGAAGGTCACCTGACGCGGCTCCTGCAGCTCCGAGATGAACTTCTCAGGATCATTCCCACATGTTCCCAAGAGAATGACTCCCGGGCTATAATGAGTCCTTAAGGCAACACCTCGCCACCCAGAATAGCTCAGAGCCTCTGAGTCCTGCCTTAGCCCGCTCTCCCCAGACTCAGGAGACTCAGCATCGCCACTCACAACCCGAAGAGCCTGACTCCCCACCCCTCCCCACCCCCATATCAGGAGCACCCAAGTGGATGGGGCTCATTTGCAACGCAGATGAAGTTGTATACTCATGGCAAGTGCCCTGCGATTTTTCTCTGGGAAGGAAGCACAAGCATCGCATGGGGATTAGGGAGATCTGGGCTATGAAATACGTTGCCCCGAAGTTGTCACATGAGCCCAAAGAGAAGGGGCGACCACGCCAGCAACACCCTTGGCTGACGTCCAGTGCTTCCTCCTCTTGGGTGAGTGTCTTGCTTCAGATCCCAGGAAGCCACAGTGCATCACCCCCACAGGCAGATAAGGGGGCACGTTCATTGTCCTGCGGACAGACTCCTTCAGGAGCTGCAGGGAGCCCTAGCCGGTGTGGCCCAGTGGATAGAGCATCGGCCTGCAGACTGAAAGGTCCTAGGTTTGATTCCGGTCAAAGGCACATGCCCGAGTTGCAGGCTCGATCCCCATTAGGGGGCGTGCAGGGGGCAGCCAGATCCATGATTCTCTCTCATCATTGATGTTTGTCTCTCTCTCTCTCTCCCTTCCTCTCTGAAATTAATATAAATAAATAAATAGTAAAAAGAGAGAGAGCTGGAGGGAGCTGGAGGGAGCTTGTGAGTATCTCTGAAGGATTCTTAGAGGCACAAAACCAGCTTCCATTTGCGGAAATATCATTTGCTTTCGGGACTGGGCCCCATCTCTTTTTAGGAAAGGTGACCATTTCTTTACTTCTTGCATTTTATCTTTCTTTCTTTTTTGTAGTCTATGTTTATTGATTTCAGACAGGAAGGGAGAGGGAGAGAGAGATAGAAACATCAATGATGAGAGAGAACAATTGATCAGCTGCCTCCTGCACGCCCCCCACTAGGGACCAAGCCTGCAACCCAGCCATGTGCCTTGACTAGAATCGAACCTGACAC